AAATTTATTTTTAGAAATATCGAAACTTCAAAACTCAAGTCACAAGGCCAGTAAACAGGAAATGCTTGCTTTGTATTGTTTTGAAAAACGCAAGTATCACTTATTCTTTCAATCAACTTTGAAATCTAACAGATCAAAGCAGTCACCTACAAGATTTGTAAATATGTCAATATCTTACGAGAATATACATCGAATTTAGAGTTTACTCAGTATTATTTTTTACAATAAACGTCTAGATTGTCCAAAAGTGGTAAAAATATTTTTTCTACTGTCAACTGAATGTGAGTCGGTGATTTATTGATTGAAACAATTATCCTTCAAACAATAATTAATCAGCTGATATCTCTCTTTATCAACTCCATTTCCAACAATCAGAACATATCACAAGCACTTTGGTTAAAATATGAATAAATAAACATTTACTTGGTAATTAAAATTGTTAGGTAATTGCAATCACCTGATCCTGCTACTGATTTAAACGTTTCCTGTATATAGGTATCAAAACTAGCAATTTGAGTGAGAAAAATAAAAGTGAGTAGAAGTGATGATTGAAAAACAGGAAGAAAAATATATGCACAGCTTATTAATATATATCTTCTTCTTTCAGAAGATAAAGTCAAATTTTCAACCAACTAAATGTTGGTTAATAGCATACTCTTATTATCTTCCGGTATTTATCATATGGCTTATTTCTAAACTATATAAGCATATCACTTTTCTCTCCTGAAAATGAAATCTGACATTTTAGACTCAGCTGTAAGAACTGAAGGATGTCAACTTATGTAGAATAGATAGAATATGGCTTGTAGTGGAATCTAGCATGAGTATTTCGTCCTACAGGGTGTATATGCTCATTTTAAAACCATTATAATTTAGTCATAATTGGGGAAAAAAATACTGCACTAACATTTGGGACGCAAAAGGTTTTCACTATAACAAGAATTTACATCGTGGTTGAAACGTTGATTAATTAACTTACTTTTGCCCCAATGGAGCATTGACCTGTGACTGGCAATAAAGCGGAGTAATTACGTGATGCAGCTAATATATGAGTATATATAACAAACTGGAAGAAAATATTCACCAAGTAAACTCAAGTACAGTATTCACAGAGATCAGATTTTCTTAGTTATTTTAATTCATTTTACCAAGATAATTTATAACATGCGTCGCCAGTTGTAATCACATCATTAGGAAGGTTCAGTATATTTGCTTTGGGTAACTTAGTTCGCTGTTCATATTTCGAATTCTGCAGTAAGGATTTGATTAACACTGAGCACTACGCCACGTGATATCGACTAGAAATACAAGACCTAAAATCATTTAGTTCGACAAACTAGAGATATGCACTAGCATCAGTTGAAATTCAACAATTCGTTTCCTTCCAAATTCTCATTAATTATTTGCTTCCTTTATGAGTGTCCATGATGACAATGTTTGTCGATATAACATAATTATTGGCAGTTCAAACCGGTGGATTGTCTTCATTTATCTAAAATATTGTATCCCTTGATTATTTTAGTGAATAAACTGCTATTTGAATTAAACTGTCTTTTTCATCTAATGTCCTAGCTACTACGACCAATAAAAACTATCTGCTTTAACGATCAATAAGTTTTCGTTAGTGCAATTATGGTATACAAATATTGAAATAGTATACAACTATATTCATTCGTAGGAATTTTTTCTAAAACAAATTTAATTTGTTACACATTTCGACCGCTACTTTTTGTATTTCATGGTAAACGTCACTGGGTCTATATATACATATATATACATAAAAAGTGAATAAATGGAATGCAATAAATTGAAACCAGTAAATAACCGATGAAATAAATTTGAATTAAAAAAATTAAAATTTTTCATTTAAAAAGAGACGTCTACAAATAAATCTATCATAACCGAGACAGAATTATCTGTATGTATTGCTGATGGAGCTGAGGAATAAATGTGACTCAACATAAGGAAGTAGAGAAACATTGATGTTAGATGAAGATTCATTTGACATCAACAGCACACCAAAACCACATTCGAATACACTTGTTTTCATAATGTTCACATTGATTAATTTGTCTAAATAAAACTGAGTAGAATTTGTCACTGATCGATCTATAACTTGCTATATGATCGTTCAAAAAACAAATCAGAACCCGGCACATACGTGATCTGAAAAAAATGGGATTCATGGAGTAAAAGGAATAAAATAACTTTCATACTTAGGTTCTAGAGCTAAACGAAATGAATGCATCTGCTTCACTATGGATATGATGAATTCGACTGAGAGTGCATCAAAATGTAAGATGGATAAAGCACCCAAACTATCAGTCAGTAAGAGATCAATGCAGGAGAGAAAACAATCAAAACACTAACAGCCCAGTAAATGAAAATAATCAATCAAATTCCAGAACAAAAGAAGAAACCAATAGTCAATTGTACAAAAATTTTAACAGCTAACCTCTCATACTAATGACAGTACCATTTAACAAAAACATCTATTTTCTGCTGGTCAACAATAAACAATATCCACTAAAATTTTCGTACGCATTGCTGCATTAGATGAAGACAATATCATTTGGAATTGTTTCGGGTAAGTAAACAAAATAATTGTTGACTATCAGGGAAAACAAGAAATCAGTAATTACTTCAACTGCGAAAAATATAATTCAAAGTAATACTACTGATTCTGTAAACAGGGAAATATGACTAGAGTAATACTATTTAAAGAAAATAAAATCTCATTGACCTACAAGCGGAAGAAATTCAAAAGACTAATACTTCTTTATATTCTCATACAACAGTAATTTGAGAGATAGAGAATTTCCAGAAAATAACGGATGTAGTCAAAATTCAAGGCAATATACAACCATATTACCCATGAAAAACACTGTGACTTACTTATGGACAAGGTATTCACTGCTGCCTTCAGAAAACTGATTATGTGGGAATCAATAAAATAATTAAAACATAAAATACAAACAACCGTAAATCAAACTTCGTAATTTATTTCCATTTTTATTTTTATAATTCTAGGTTACAACTAACCCCACTAATCTAACAACATTTTGGAGAGTTTGATGTTTAGCTCAATTCCATTCCTTAGTGCATGTGAAATATCCTAATTTAAAACCATTACTCGATTACAGCAGGGTAGTGAAGGAGAACACAGGTGAGGGCAACCGAATTGTATTTATCTCAAATTACAGAGTTAATTGGTAAAATAGAAAAACCATATCGCAAATCGCTAATTTATGTACACTCTGGTATAAATTGCCCCTCTATCTACTAGTGCAAGAACCTCCAGATTCCTACGGTGGAAAGAACACACGTTATAATGTCTAAAATATCTGCGTCGTCGTCTTCTTGGACAGTTTATCTTCCAATGTCCTGCCCCTCCACAAGCGTAACATTTATCGTTCCTTTTATGATTCACTCGTAATGCTGCAATCTCACGCTCCAACTCCTCAATCTTCTTCTCGACAGTATATATCTCCTGCTTTCCGCACCCGACCGGAGCTACTGTTCGTGTCATCAGCTGGCAAGTCACCGATATCCATAGATTGCGCTGCATTTACTAGTTTCAGCTGCTGGGACACGGCGCAACAATCTGGTTAGCTCCACAGTCAGCACCCGTGGGTCACCATCGACCGACAACCTCGCCAACCGGAAATTCTGCAGCGCTTTCTCCCGATCCACTGGGCTGTCGAACTCCGTCATCAACCGCTCCGTGCCCGTCTCCCATGTCGTCTTCCCGCCAGTACCGTTCAAGCTGTCGTATACGGCCTTTGCCCTACCTCTTAGTAGCGTCCCCAGCACCACCAACTTCGCCTTCGGCTCCTTCACACCCACCAGCTCCGTCACGGCCTCAAACTCCTTCAGGAAGCTCAGCACATCTCCGTCCTCAAATTCTTTAGGCCACGGAATCTTCATCCTTAGTGTAGGCAGCGACACCAAATGTAGTGAAGGAAAACACAAGTGAGGGCAACCGCATTGTATTATCTCAAATTACAGAGTTAATTGTAAAATAGAGAAACCATATCGTAAATCGTTAATTTGAAAAATATCAATCCATCATATCGAACTGGACTGTTCCGTTGCAAACATCAATCCATTGTCTGACATTTCACTGTTCATGCGTTTCATACAAATCCCATTATGTTCCCGCTCTTACTTTCTTGATCTTCCCCCATCTTCTGCTGCCAGACACTACGTTTTTACTCGCGTCATATACTACTCATAAATAGCGCGCACCACAGCAGGACCACTCAACATTAAATCTAAGTATGTAGTTTTAGTTATAAATTATAGGATGACAGACGAGTCTATACACTTTCATTAACACTGGTAGTTAAGATAGGAGTTAATATTGTTGTAAAATGTGACAACTTGTATCGATATACAATCATTTCGGAGCTTAAATGGTTTATTTAATGATTGTTCCGACTATGTATTATTTCTACATCGATGTTTTCCTATGATAATGTCCGGCATTATTAGTAAATAAGTATTCAAAAAAATGTTTCCAACAAATAAACCCAATCTCTCCCTACAACTTTTTAATTCAAAACTGCTAAATACTCCTAAAAATTGTAATCCAACAATTTAAGGTGTTTTGGGTACAAAATAAATTTAAGTTGACAGGACTTATTATAGACTATTTAAATTGAGTCATAGACTAAAACATTTTATTACACTATTCGTTATGAAAACAATGGACGCAAAATAAATTCACCACTTCGATATTGATACAACTCATGCTTTAGAATCATCATTTTAAATATAAAAGATAAAGATATATGACCTGATAACACTATGAACTAGTGTTGCATAGACCGAAGAGCTTTAAAAAAAGGATGCAAATAACAAGAAATTTTATGAAGGATCATATTATAGAACAAAAAACTGTACTCATTTACTGTACACAATACTATAAGTAAAAAATAATGGCATAATAATGAAGACATATCTACATGAAATTCTTTCAATTCGATACATGTAAGGAATTATAGACTTTGATATTTTAGATTCAGTAAGTTATCTGTAATTGATGAAGAACTTTCTGGTTTATCAACTTGATTACCATTGTGTTCAAGGGAAGTTTTCTTCTGAGTAGCGTCGGGTTTCACAGGTTCACGATGAGGGGTTGAACGTGCTGAGTTAGGACGTCTAACGACACCCAAATCAGATGGGACACGTCGAGGAGTATTGACTTTGGGGAGAGGAGAACATGTTTGCCCACCAATTCGACTAGCACCAGTTGAAGCCCGACTGTTTGGTTCATTATTTATGATTGATGAGCTAGAAGCGAGTAGGCGAAGAGCAGCAGGAGAGAGTAGCGATCGTGATGGACTACAAAATAAGTGGAATTTGAAATTAGTTAAAAAAAAATTTGAATACGGGAGTCTCGACATTAACTGATGCAAAACACTCAACACCACAATATCATTAAAAACAATTTTCCAATGACCAGATGAGGTGAGTTTTCAACCTCAGTATGTTTTTATCAGTATTTATTAAACACGACTAGCCAAATCCGTCTTACCTGTGATTTCCTAATACAAGTTAATTTGAGTAAACCGCAATCAACCAAGTATTTATCAACGAATACACACAAATAAATTTACATCATTTCTGCCATAGTAGAAGGAATGAAATAAGAATTATCAACATCTCTAACTGAGAAAATAGGGTACGACTAAAATTCAGGCATCATATGCCAAAAAGCAACTTCGTAAATGTACTGCAATAATCCAACTGTATGGAACAACAAATAATAGTGGCACAAATAGCTTATTTGCATATCATAATACAGAAAGACTGCATTTCGGTTAAGGAAATACTCACCTACATATATTAATCAAGTTATTTAAAGTACAATTATCATTTCATATAGTTGTCAATATTAGTTTCAAGTTTAAGGAAAATTCATTGTGTTATCGCAACCTAACATAGTCTGAAATTAAAAGATCAAAAACACTCATACTGACATTTGAACCAAGTCTCCCAATTAAAAAGCTTGTGTCTAACTTATAGTCAAATGACATATTAGCTTTAGCAACGATGGTCATTCCTCTGTGATAAAGCAGCACAAAGGGGACTTATGTAAAGTACATTTGTTTGGTGGGTAGCAACTTATCTCCCATTCATTCTACAATTAACTTTCCTGAACTAAAACTTAAACGAGGAATATGATATTTTAAAAGCAAAAGTCCTGTTATAAGAACAACATTCTTTTTTATTTACCACAGGGAAAATTAGGGGCTTATGTTTACTTCATGGGCGTATCTTATCATGTTTTAATAATACGTTATTATTAGGACACAGATAGAATGAAAGCATATCCAATCCAGGATCATGTTAGGGCACGCTGACTGGCGCATTCTTAGCCATTCAGTGCCACGGGATAGTTGAGAAAGGTTGAAGAATACTCTTGTGTAAAAATTATAAATATGCTACCGCTTCTATTATTATGATTCCCTCACATTCAACCTGGTTCATCAGAATAAACTAATCACGTGTTCAAGCTGTGTTCTGATTTTCGGGATTAGTTAAGTGTTGTACGGTATGGAATAATACTAAGCAATAAGATAGCTGGGTTTGTATTAGTGAAATCATATTCATATCTTGGCGTCTTATTCGAATATCTGTCAGTAAAATCTACTAGAGGGGGAGAACTAGTTGCTAAATCCAGATTAGTAAAACACTAGAGTTTCAATTGTAATTATACTTACCTTGAAGCTGCTGATTGCATTCTTTTTACCGCTTCTAAACGATCACGTACACGTTGACGGCTTGCTTTATCTGCCAGTTGGTGAGCAAGTTGTTCACGTTGTGAAGGAGATGGGATACGAAAGGCTGGACCACCAGATACAACTGATGGTGTCATTTCGCTGTCATCTAGTCGAAAAGGTGTCGAATCTAATTCACCCCAAGTCATCAAAGGTGTATGGGGAAACATTGTCATTGGTGAAGGGGAAGAATCAAGAAATTTATAACCAGAAGCCTGAGGGGTTCCGTACGGTGAGTTCATTTCCAAACCATTAACACCAACCCGCCCCTATTTAAAATAATGCCACGTACAAACTTCATGAGAATATTTTATAAAACCAAACTAATTTTTTGAATTTAAAAAACCCAATAAACGGTTTGTACTTATTCACACAAACGGATATAAACGGAAGTATCCTTTCACCGATCAACTGTTAAATAGTCTAGCAATGTACAAAAAGAGAGATTTTCGACCAGTATTTGTATCACGTAAAATCATAAATCAGTAACGTTTAGACAACATGTTAATCTGCAGACTAACAGATTGAAATAAGCAAAACATACTTACGAATGTTTGCAGAATGATGGAAGTGAGTACACCCTGCGTAGACCGTGACGATTTTCAGGCTGAGTGGAAATTAAAAACATTCCAGAACTTCATATATAGATGATATATGAGCCCCTATGTTAGAATAAACAGCAATTTACAGAAGGTAACTAACATTTTGCTCATTTAGGATGGCAAAACCAATACTCACTTAGAAACATGATTGACAAGCGGAAACCGAAGCTCATTGATTCAAAAAACTAAGGAAAGCTATGGTATCGTTGACGTAAAATAATGTTTGTTCAGCGGACATTCGTTTATTGAAATTATTTTTGGTTACTGGTCAACTTGTTCGTATGATTAAAGCGATAATACATTTTACTCTAGAATTCAGATAATCTTTGGAAACTTGCATCTCTTAATCATATATTTACAAGAACCAAAGAATGATTATCTTATTGTGTAACATAAATCAAGATTATAAACATAATACATATAGCCCTAATAAAAACAGTGCAACTCAAAACCGAATACACACACACCTGTGATTATTATATGATTTGCATTATATGCTACTGCTTTTGGCATTGTCACATGAAGTTTAAGTATAATCGGCAACGATATACACAACAGAAAGAGTAATTAACCCTTTAAGAAACCAATTTTATTCATGTTGTTTGTGTAGAAGTTTCAAAGATCTGCGCAATCGGTTTTCATGATATCGCTTATTTATCTGTGTTTATCACCATTAAAAAAAAGCTAATACACTAAGGATAACGTTGAATATATAATTACTATCGCTGCCACAAGTAAGGATAAAAAATAGAAAACTGGATTAACGTGATCCCAAATCAAGTGAAACAATTCAACAATGGAATGATGAAGCAAATATTGAAAGACGAGAATAAAATTCGTTGGTGTCATTGTGGTTAATTTGGAGTAATTGAAAAACTGTGGTCCTTAACTAATCGATCAAGTTACGACCAATATCCAACTTGAGCTGTCCTTTACAAGGAATATTTAGACAGCTAATTAAAAATTTTCGCGTACAGTTGTGATTCTAGGGTTTAAAAACTCACTCAACCTACAACCTAATTAGGTATGGTGTTGTTCTTATAATCTGGGTGAAAAGAGGCAAGAATCAAATGCGAGATGAAAGCACTAGCAACATGCAGTGGGAGATTGTATGGGTTTGATGTTAGCGATGAGTAATCCCAGATTACAACTCATGAGAACCAAATCAGTATCGAATACGTTAAATTGAAATTCTGTAAGAGTACATTATTCTGTGTGAACACAACTCGCGTCAGTGATAAAATACTCGGTTTAAATATTCTAGCTATTACTTATTTACACATAGTCAATAAACAGGGTGAATATCAAAAAACTACATCTGGAAAACTGGTCCCGACCGTAGCTGCTGCCTTGACGTGGTGGTCGAGCTTGCCTATCGTGATGACCCAATCGAGCTATATTGGCTGGTCATTTGGAGAACGGTGAAACCAAAAACAGCTACTTAAGGTCTGAGGGCGAAGTCGTACTGCTGACTGCAGAGGGGAGTGACAGCAGTAAGGTGTTTCCCTCGGACAACCAGCATCTGCAGCGATGCTGCCTTCTCATAAGGAAGGGTTAGAAAAGGTCAACTCTAAAAATGTCACACAGCCTACCTCACGGGTTTTCGTCTCCGGTGGTAAGGGCTGCCCACCATGGACTTTAAAAAAAACGGAGCTAATACTCAGAAAACCGTTCGTAAAAAGGCCATGTGTGACCGTCCTCAAGCAGTTGTCCCTTGAGCTCTGAAGTCACGCTCCTATGTCACTAGAACCGATACTAATATACCTTCCTTTTCAGGTTCCTCAAGAAACAACCTTCCACGGTGTGGGCAGCCGGGAAGTGACAACCGCCCTCATATCCGTAACAGCACGCGAGACCGAATTGGTCAAAATCAAAACCTTCCTACATCCCCCAACAACTCTACTCATATTTCTTTATCAACTCGCACCGCCAATGCAAACGACGCGAGTTCACGAAAAGCTTTTCCTGGTCTCCTGAAACCCCGTTCTAGACTACATGTTGGAGCATTTAATGTTCGTACATTGTGTCGAATAGGGCAACAGGCTTCCTTAGCTAGGACTTTAGAATCTCGTGCCATCGATGTATGCTGAGTCTTGGAAGCACGCATACATGATCCTAGTAAAAACATCAATTTGATTTCACCTTGTCACAATAAAGAAACAGCTCGATTTACTCTTCGTGTATCTGGAAGCCCTGATGCTGCCTCCCGGCGTCTCGCTGGCGTAGGTATGGCATTGAGTCCTAGAGCAGAACTAGTTCTCCTGGACTGGATCCCTGTAGATAGTCACTTGTACGCTGTCCGACTGAACGGGACAGTAAGGACTCGGGAAGAATAGGGACACTCGCCGTTGCCTCTTTGTCGTTTCTACCTGCGCTTTCACTGACTGCCAAGGTGAAAGATGAGTTTTACAGAAAGCTTTCGAAGCTCCTCCAAAAAGCTAGGCGCTCTGATATAGTTATAATGGCTGGTGACTTTAATGCTCAAGTAGGTAGACTAAGTGAGAAGGAAAGACACATGTGTGGATCTTATGGTGTCACTGTTCAGAGAACAGACAACGGCGACCGTCTGTTGCAAGTATGCTCAGATAACCAACTATTTCTAGCAAACACTAACTTTAGGCATAAGGAAACACATCTTTTGACCTGGTGACCCCCAAACTCGTCTCAAAGTTGAACCCAACTAGATCACATCGCCATCCGACACCGATGGAGGAGTTCGACAGAAGACTGTCGCTCGTTCTGGGGCACATGTTTAGAATCAGACCATGTCCTAGTGCGCTTGTTTGAGGCTTATTGAACGTAGGAAAGACACTGCAAAGAAAACTCTTAGGGTTCTACTTAATGATAGCAGAGCTGTGAATATATTTCAGGAACAACTAGAAAAACGGTTAGGCGATCATGTAAGCGATTCCCATCCGGAGGCAGGTTGGAATGATATAAAAAGAACGCTATGGAAACAGCAGTAATATCTGCTAAAAAGGTAAACCATATGGCTAGGAAGAAGCCGTGCATCTCAGTAGCATCTACCGAACTGATAGACGCTCGTAAACTCATCCCTCCTGGCTCTGAACACGATGAAGAGCGAAGTCAGCTTAGGCGCAGGCTGATAAAAAGCTTAGGCAACGATTGCGAACAGTGGTGGGTGGCGAAAGCGATGGAAAAGACAGCGGCGATAAGCAACAGCAAATAGTTGTTCCGACATATCAAGGAACCTGGTATTAGGAATCCTAGTGTAAGTGAGACTATCTCGGAAAATGATGGGATTATTATTCATTCTCAATCCAGCAGATTGGACCGATGGGCAGAACAATTCAAGGATCAGTTCAACTGGCCCTCAGCCACACTTCGGTCACCCACGATCTCCAGTCATCCTGAATGGCAAGTCGACGTAAGCCCTCCGACTCTTTATGAAGTTGAAAAAGCCACAGGAAATCTGAAGCGAGGGAGAGCAGCAGGACCTGATAGACTGACCCCTGAAGTTTTTAAAGATGGTGGTTCAGTTTTAACAGTTAGACTGGCAGATCTGACGTAGAATCTGGGAACTGGGCGTAATACTATCTGACTGGTCTCAACCACTAATTGTCCCAGTCTATAAGAAATGAAAATAGTCCTTGTGACAATCACAGAGGAATAGACCAAAGAAGTACATTAACCTTATACAAGCTCACTACTCGAACACTATTGGTCTAGTGAGAGCTTATAACGAACCGTCATCGGAATTCTCCACTTCAAGTGGTGTCCACTTTCCCTATTCTTGTTTAACTTTATCGTAGATATGCTCCTAGATATAACCTTATCCTCGTCTGAACTTTCAGCAGTACACCTTTTACCAGGAGGCTCGCTTATTGACTTAGAATATGCCGATGACATAGTTCTATTTGGTGAAGATGCTGACAAAATGCAGAATCTTCTGGCTACCCTAAGCACCAATGCATGTTCGGGATGCGGTTTTCCCTCTCGAAATGCAAAATGTTGCTTCAAGATTGGGTTGCATCGCCACCTGAACTAGTGATAGGGAGTGAAGTAGTCGACCGTGTAGACTTATCTTGGGAATCTCATCAGCACTGATGGCCTTGTGACTGACGAAATCTCAGCACGGATACAGAAAGCTCGATTGGCTTTGGCCAAGTTGCGTGACCTTTGGCGCAGGCGAGATATCCGTTTGCTAACTAAAGGACCAGTCTACTACACAACAGTTCGCTATCTCCTACTATACGGGTGAAAAACATGGCCGGTGAGAGTAGAGGACATTCGTAGGTTGCTTGTCTTCGATCATAGGTGTCTCCGAAGCATTGCTCATATATCCTGAGACAACCGAGTAAGCAATGCTGTCGTTAGGAAACGAGTACTAGGTAAGGATGGTAAATCAATATATGAAGTATTGAAACTTCATCAGTTGAGGTAGTTGGGACATGTGTTACGTATGCCTAACCACCGACTGCCGCGATGAGCTGTTTTGTGGCGTATGAGTAAGTTGGAAGAAAGCTAAGGTTGGCCATACCAAAACATGGCACATATCCATGAAATCACTGACAAGTGGTCTGAGTCATGTTGGCAGATGTAGGCTACCTGGTTGGGGTCTGAAAGACGAAAGTCACCAATGGTTAGGGACCTTGAACGACAGGGCTCAAAATCGTTTGCAATGACGCAGGTGCATCCTCTCAAATTCTAACCTTCTGAATTCCTCATAATCTCTATCTTTCTCTTTCTAACTTTATCGCACTGAATTATACCCTAATCTTCTCCATTACTGCTAATACTCCTACTATCGCTACCACTATTGGATTTGAACTGACAGTTGCGTCTCTGTGCTAATGCAGTATGGCAACCTGAACTCAAGGTATTAGGAGTAATCGGGCAACCTGAACTCCTGTACATACGTACGAAGTTCTGTGTTGTTTTGTTTGTTTTTGTTTTGGAAAACTTGTGTTTTCATTCTAGGTAAAGGCAAAGAAAAGATAGAAAGTTTCATTCACTGTATTAAAATCGGAGTTACAAATTATTAGCATAGTGCAAGGACATATTACATAATCTTAAAAAATAAATAAAGACACTGAAAAGCACAAAATGTACTGTTAGTGATTGCTTGAATCTTACGTCTTATAATGAGAATCAGGTCAAATAAAACTGCATTAAAGTGACAGTCAGCACAAAACGAATAAATTCTGAGTTTTGACCTTACCAGCTTTGAAGCAAGTAGATGCTTTATTGTACGCTTTTTTTCTAAGTTTACTGGGAAAGGTCTCTTGAAACGAGTATTAGTCGGCACGATTTTGCGTTCCTTGGACAAAAATTCTAGCAATTCCTCCTTGGTTTGAGATACACCATCAGGATTAAAATGAACAGCATTGTTTCCAGTAATTGTAACTCTAGGTCCAACAACAGCATTTGAAACACCGGGGAGAGCCAAAGTCTTTGGATCGTCTAAAGGTGTCTATTCAAAGGATTATGAGAGCTCAGGAACGTACAAGTGCAGAACATTGAAGCGAGGGAAAAAACGGAGCCAGCTTAATCCTCTGCTTTTTTTCGTTTTCTTCAACTAATTCCGCAAAAGACGCATCATCCTCCGTGGTATTATTAGCCATGTATTTGTCTAAAGACATAGCAGTTGGATCACCTAAAGTATCCATATTATTTTCTAATTTAGTGTCTACTCTTTTCAGGGTTATGAGAATCAGTGTTAAGTGAGTTTCTATCTTTAAGTTCACTGGATTCGTCATTGGATACTTTTTCTTCGTTTGATAAAAGACTAGGAAAGAAATCCCGCTGTATTATTTTTCCCAGATGCTAAAATATAGAATGAACAGGCTAATCAACATTATTACACGATAATGTCTATAAACATTCACCAACCAATAGTTTAAAGATAGATAATTATTCAAAAGACAACTTGACTTCTTGACAGAGAAAAGAGATTACGAAAAGGCAACGGGTGTACAGGTAACCTTGATTACATGCGATGAAATTACTAGCCACAAACATCAAAAAATTTACTGACACGAGTTATATGAGTCAGTCAGCTACAACGTAAAACCTCGTACGCATGTACATAAGTTCAGGCTGCCACATTGCATTAGAACAGAGATCGAATTTTCAATCCGAATTCCATGGCAGTACAAGTAGTAAACGTATTAGCAATAATGGGAAAGATTAGGGTTCGAAGAGACATGAGTTAAATACTAGTCAGGATAGCCTATATTATTCCCTAACTGTCGTATGTGGAAATGGTAAATCCAGGACAACTTAACCACACTTTAACACCAGGCCTTCAGTTGCACAGTTCCATACAGCCGGTCATGTAGTTAGGATTGTACGGGCCACCTTGTAAATGCACAACCAATCAGCAAATATCTGCGGAGCCCATCACACATATCCCTCGGACAAATGTAATCGAGCAGTAATGAGGATAAACACCAAGCATTGATAACATAGTCTTAAAAAGTGAAAAGAGCTACTAAGGACACACCTTGGAAAGCTTCATGTAACTGCCATGTTTTCTAATACTCAGCCAAATCTTCATGTCTTTATGGGAACCCACAAAGTTTGTAAATAACCAAAAATTATCTGCACCGACGTGTCGAAACTGATACATACATCATCGAGACAACCGTCACTAAATGTGTAGTATAGTAGATGCATTTATCGTATCAAAACTTTCACTAAGTCGTTTTAAATTTCAGTAGTTAGGTACTGTACTGTCTGCATTATTTACCACGAAGTAGGAACAATAAAATGAACTCATGAAATCAACAAACTAAGTAAACTTATTTAGGCCTCAATACCTCCATATATTCCTCTTCATCCCGGACTGTCTGAGCTGTGATTCGACCCTGTATCGGGTTGAAGCTAATAAGTTTCTTCTGGCCACTAACATCATGGATCACCTTCGATGATACCTGATCCATGAGATAGACGTAGCGTTTAGAATAAATATTCCGCCTGATGATAAGATGTTATTCATGGCGTTGCAAAGACCGTTTAACCTCTTTGCGTTTGCTTCTTGCTGACTCAGCACGACCAAAGGTCTTTAGAAACATGCAAAGTAAGATATCCTATCCACATTATTTCACTACTTCTGGTTTGTGTGCCGTTTGAATGATGAAAAATCAATGAGCACTAGTACAACTGCTCATAAAGCTGGATCATCAATAAGTTGGGGGGCAGATCGGTGGATGATAAACAGTACATTGAATTTCACCAAGGTTGTGAAAAAATCAACGTGGATCTAGTAATGCCAATCCATAGGCTATATCTGTGATACTTCAAAGATCTGTCCTTACCCATAAAATATCCAATATTTTTTTAACAAGCTAGTATAAACCAAGGTGATTATAGGATAGACAGAGTAAGTCGGTGGTGTGATTTAAAGATAATGACAACGGAAAACAAGTTTCATGACATGCACCAATCAAAGCTGATCCAAGCGAGTGATGACTGCCTATGTGAAAGTATCTGTCTGTCGTTCGCGAAGCTATCCACAAGGAAGGTTGCGGTCACTTCGTTCGGAAGAGGATTTCGAGTAAGAACAACTCCTAATGATGAAAAGGGGGCACGTATCTGGGCGTCCACTTCGTGAGAGACTTTTCGGGTGATATCTAGAATAGGGTAGTGATGATGTAATGGTTTGATGCGTTGGAGTGACATGAATAACTTCATATGTTCTAGGCCATTACTAAATGATCTATCGTTTATATAACTCCACAAGATTTTTCTTAAGTGTTGAAGTCCGTTTTACTAAGGTTTATTCCGTAACCCTTTCAAATGGTAGTCTCTGCACTCGATACAGGAGACCACCCTCTCGAGGAACGTTCCGAGAAGTAATTTTATTATTATTTGTTTCAGATGGGTCATAAACTTCACAAGACTATATTTTGTCTCGTTAGGTTTTAACCTGACAGCTGATTTCTTGCTAAGACAATTTTAGAGCTCAAATAAATCCTCTTCGCTTCTTCTGGGCCTTCATATCTGCATAGACTTATTCCGCCGAGCTAATTTTATCTAAAATGTCCTTATTAAATATTAAGGAAAGGAGTGGACCCAAGGTGGTACCCTATGAAACTGCTGATATTTAAGCTCGACGTCTCTCTCTCTCAATCTATTTACCTTGGTACGCAACTTTCGCAATCAGGATAGAAACGGATCGATATAGTCTATTTTCGAAACCTTCCCTATTAAGAGTATATAAGGTACTGTGTTGAAGGCTTTTTCTAATTCCAGAAATATGACAGCAACAGCTACTTTATGCCTAATTAGATTATCCAGCTGTAAGACGATCGGATGTGCAGGTTTTGCCTTTCTTAATCTGTGTTAGGTTTCTCGGTGAATGCCATTTTTATCCCTGCATTTCCTCATTTGACCATTCGCCAGATCAACTTTGACATTATTGACAGTATTGCGACTAAGTTATACAGGCTGTATCTGTCTTATCTCCTCTTCTGAAGACTGAAGAGAGAGCACCCTACTTGTATTCTCTTGTTTGATCACGGTTAACGTCTAGACAGATCCCTTACTGCAGAGCTGAGTGTCTCCATAAACTGTTTCGGGTTAATACGGCGAATGTTGTCACATTTTGGTGACTGGGAACCTAGTGGAATATTCCCCAAGCCATCAGTAGACATAAAATTTGACTATTGCTCTGAGCTTGCAGGTGACTGATTAAACTGGTCAGTGAAGTTAGCATTAAAAATCTAGGCCATCTGTAAGTCGTGAAATCTTCACCATTTAGACCTGTGAGAATACATACAACCAGTTCTGTAGGTCTCCTTTCGGTTGTGAACAGCAAGAAACATTTTAGGTTCCCCTGATTTCGGTTGCTAGCTTCTGCCTAAAGCGTCTCAAGTCGCTTCACCTTTCAAGTTGCATCTATTTCGCAACTGCAAGTGAGAGTTACGATCAGAACCTTTCAGGAACGCTTTTCACTGGTGTTACGCTCACTTTTTCCCTTGTAGCTAGAGTTTCGGGTCTTCATCTACCCATGATCTCGTTTCACATTTGCCATTTTTAGTGGTGTCCTTCACTTTCCCTCACTAACCATCGGCAGCTGGCTACCACAACTCCCGTGGTAATGAGGTTTATAGAAGATGCTGCCTCATAGTTGTATAGTCTGCCCCAGCATCGCGAAGGAAAGGAGTGTAAACGTTCCTCCAATATATTTCTTTCATGATCCTGTAAATGGTTTGTCGACATATCCTCTACTAGAAACTGACCATTCATTAAAAAAATGATCCAAGTTTGAAGGCTTGCTTTCTTACTCCATCTCCTGCCGTCACTTACTTATTCAGTCATTTTTAATAGCTATGGAAAGCTACTTGCATGCCGAGATTTATGGACTCACTGCTGACGTTACAGCGCTTAATCACATCTCAGGTGCCGCAGTTACAACATGGCCTTGAATAACTTTTCTTCATAGGTTTTAGTACTTCCATTCAGGTACTATGTCGTTCTTATTGTAGCTCCGCTAGCGTCTCTTTATCCGATTGGTTAATTGAGTACCGTGTGCTGTTACGGATTTGGAATGGCTCTCAGTGTATATCAACACTCCGTTTGTTTTGTGCACCCCAATGCATCCGAAAAGTTTCATACCTCCTGAGCCTAAATAGTCATCCGTGATGTCCAGAGACAGCTGAATTCCATTTAGGATCAACGTCTCAATATCCGATTGTTAGTACATCTTTCTGATTTCAGTCAATTTACCTTCCAGTCTTTTCCCATTGCTATAGAAGTATTTGACGTATTATTTGGTCACCTGGTGCTCCTAAACAATAGGCTGTGTATGATGAAGTTTAAGACGTCTAATTTTTTCTAGTTTTTGACTAACTAATCTTATTTGAATTAGTAATTCCAGATTTAGTTTGGTCATGATTATTTAGTTCAGGATTTTCCAGAACTGTTTGAATTCAGTGATCCATGTTGTACGCATAACTATGAGGCTCATCACCCAGTGGTGTTATGAGGCTTCTTGATAATACTTACTAGAAACAAAGATTTTCGACTGATTACTAACCCATGAATTATCAACCCTGCTACTTTTCCTAGTTGTTATACTATTAGTACTGGTGGCAACGCTACCACCGTAAAATCTAGCTGAAAAAACTATTCAGAAGATTGCGGGTTGATTCGATGAGGAAAATGAGCGAGGTGTAAGTTTTGAATGGGCAAATTAATGCACAAGAACAGAAAATGAAAGACACTCAAAATTTTAACGTTACCTCTGACCGTCCCAGTAAGCAACTTCGAGTAGATCTAGTGACTTTTCTACAAGTCCTGCATTTGTAAGTCAATAAATTTGTGTATGTAGCCGTTAACAAAACTAAGAAAAGTGCAGTTGGTCAAAACAATCAGACCTATCTCACGAGGGTTTAACCTTGGAATGATTAGGAGTGTTAGTTAGTTTCTTGATCATCCACCGATATGAGGAAGATGGAGTTTGCATCCCTGAAAATGTTTAAATATTTCAACCTAGTGGTGAAAGCTGGACTGTTTTCTATTGCTGGAAAGGTCAACAAGGTCACGTCAGACCCGGATACCATACGTTGTTTGAGATTCTATGTTATCTGTACTATCACTAAGTCAACTGCTCCACCTGACTACTATGGTAGGGTAATCCATGTTAGACACCAGCCTCGTTGAGTAATTTGAAGGTAACTTCGGATGCCGCTCTAAAACAGAAGAACTGTCCTCATTAGTGGTATTTTTTATAACTCTTCTTATTACTAACAAGTATCATTAGCCAGAGAAACCAGTAACGGGGGTTATGTGCGCGGTTGAAGCAACTCTTGCAAGACGACGTGCACTTCGTCTTGTGAATAGATTCAATACCTCAGAGATCCGAGTCAACTTCAGAATACTGTACAGAGCTGTTACGGGGTTATTTTAGTTGAAACTGGGGCTAGGGAATGAATGACGGATATCTAAATTATGTTACTTCATAAATGTCTGACATTTAAGTGGCTAGTCACCTCAGACAATGTATCGCTTTTCTCTTCTTCTACATATAATTTACTTATATTCACCTTTTATTTAGTTATTTGGCACTCCGAATGTTTACGGATCAGTAGTACGCGGTCATTTAAATATTGAGACGAAATTTCAGACCAATAGATCACAAACAACTTTAAGCCGCATGTTATTTCAATCAAGCATTTCTGTATTAGAAAAACAAAGTCACATCGAGAGAAATTCTGCTGGAAACAACGTCAAAGTAGATGGTCTTTGGTGCACAGATAATACTATACATAATGAGTTTTTTAGTTAGAAGTAATGAGCTTCTGTACACAAAACGTCTTAGAAATCACCAAACTGTAAAGCTTATTTGAAAAGGGCTTTAGGTTTTTAAGTCTGAGAGATAAAAACACAAGTAAACCCATTTTGAACAGGATTAGACAACTTGTTTCCCGAATTCGAGATTAATAGGCCGGATTCTGTAAGGTTTGATCGTGTACCAGCCGAACTGCAACATTTCGGATTATAGTGGAACAATCAATTTAGTTGGATTGACTAGTCTACATCAACGTCATTGACTACGAGAAAGCATCCGACAGTGTGAACCAGATCACACTATGGAGGCTTCTTAAACACTATGGCGGGCCTGAGAAGATATTCACCATCATAAGAAACTCGTATGTCGAATGAAAATGCGAAATAGTGCATGGGGGAATGCCTATTCATTCGTTCTAAGTCAACACCAGTATCTGAAAGTTTACTTAATCATAATCTTCATCTTTCTGCTGGTGATTGACTGGAATATTGAGATGTCATCATTTCAGAGGAAGCACGAAGTACAGTTGACAGGTCGGATGTAACTAGAAGATCTGGACTTCGCAGACGATCGAGCCCTTCTATCGAACACGCAGAAACAAATGCAGAAGAAACCGACCATTTTAACAGCAGCTTCTGCACTAAAAGGGCTCAACATACACAATGGAAGAACCAAGATCGTCCGATGCTAAACAACATGCATCAACCAAATCACACTTGACGGAGGAGCTTTGGATGATGTAAAAACCTTTATATATCTGGGCAGCATCATTGACAATCAGGGTGGAACTGACATAGATATGAAGGCGCAGATCGGCAAATCAAGGGCAGCATTTCTACAATTGAAGAACACATGGAACTCAAAAAATCAACACGAAAATCAGAATCTTCAGCACAAATATCAAGACAGCTCTATGTATGAGGCAGAAACTTGGAAAACTACCGAAGCCCTCATCCATAAGATACAAGTGTTTATTAACAGTTGTCTACGCAAGGTACTTAGGATCCTCTGACCAGACACCGTCAGCAACAACCTAATATGGGAGAGGACAGACCAGATTCCAGCGGAGGAGGAAATCAGGAAGAAGTGAAGCGAGTGGACAGAACACACTGAGGAAAGCCTCAAAGTGTGTCATGGGACAAGCCCTGACTTCAAGGTCAGAGAAGATCAAGGAACACGTTACGCCGACAATCGGAGATAGACACGAAAAGAATGAGTAGCGATCGGGTAGACCTGCAAAGGAAGCAATAGAATGCTTGTTGAATTTCACACTCTAAGAAATATGTTTTTTCTCTTGAGGTACTCGGTTGTATTGTTGAAGTTTTGCTCGAGCAATAATGGTCATACGTAACTAAGGTTACCCGTTTAGTATATAGCTAACTTGAGGATTTTAATCTGAATTCCCGACATTTCGTAACTTAATTTATTTAACCTTATCAAGTCAAAACTTGATACTGATACTTATAAAGTCATCATAAATCTCTTTCGAAGCCTACTTTTTTATAGGTTTTAATAACTGAATTCTTCCATTTTCTTTCTTTTGATATTTAGAATTTCTTATAGTCATATTTCACAATTCTTTTCTTCTAAACCAAAACGTTTTTATGATTACTTCATTAGCAAATAAGAGTTTTGACACAACAAGTTGATACTTACGTTAGGGTTTTAAGTGTAGAAATCAATTTCACTGCCTCTGTTATAGCACAAAAATGTTACTATAAGAAATTCACTTCTATGTTTTCATAAAAAAAATATTTATTTTTTCTGAAATACTTCCATCCATTGGTTTGCTTCTGCATGGATATTTATTGGCCAGTTATCCTTTTTCAGGTTTCTTTATAACTTAGAAACTTCAGTTTCTATTCAACCTTTATTTAATTTACCTCAGGCTAATTAATTCTAACTTATAAAATTAGCCTAAAGGTAAAATGTAGGTTAACATCGTTCTAGCATTGTCACTGCAAACCTACTTTAATTTTTTAAAATATTTTGTTTTCAAATTCTTACCGGCTAACTCATTCATTTTCTTTTGTACTTTGTTTCGCCTCATTTCTTCATCCTCCATCATTCTTCATTGCTTATTCTTTCGTAGAGCATTCATCTGAGCCTGTGTAACACTGACAGACAATGAATATCTATTTATAAAGAGAAATGCCTTGAGGTGATCATTTAGTATTGGATGTTTTAAGATCGGAAACACGTTACTCACTAATATATATATATATATATATATATATATATATATATATATACGGGAATAATAAAATCGTGTCTTAGTTTTAATGGTGGTACACCGTTGTTCTTGAAACTAATAAACCGTACTGTTTCATTTCTAAAAAAAGTGAGTTCAACCTACATGTACATTTCTTGGGTATTAATATATGGAATAAGTTCTTTCAATTTTCTTGCACTAATTTTTTTTTATTCTAACAGTACCTTTGGTTAATAAGAGTTGTACACTAAAAATCAAGTGACCGCCACCAAAATTCGCTATTACCTTGATAATTACTATCATTATAATTTATTTCTAGGATTTAGTCAAAAGCTGAATAAATTATGTGAAAAGTTGTGAGCTACTCTTTCATAAAGAATTAGTTACTGAACTTAACAGTTTAGCTATTGTATTCCTCTTGTGTTCTTTAAGATTACGAACATCTTTATTCTATTAAACCTCCAGACTCCTAGTTTACATGATTTTATTACCTACCAAATTGATAATGTGACTAGTATATTACTCAAACAGCATGAGGTGAAATATATCACTGATCGAATTTCAGTAAAGCTAACCAACTTTACTTGAGTTTTGAGTTTTTTCTGCCACAAACAGACAAAATACTCATAAAGATTTAGTGTAAACACTTTCTACTGAACATTTAATCCAGTGAAAATTTAGAGAACAATTTATGTGAATTCATACAATCCGATACAACATTATCGTTTCAACTTCAATAGTTCTAGATTACCAAAGTTCATTAGTACTATAAGTGTAAATATCCTCGGCTGAAGATGAACACAACATCAGTATTATAACACTGTGATAACTGAAATTCAAACCTATGATTTTTGTGGTAAGTTTTTGTGAAAAAAAAATCTACAAATTATATTTATTATTGTATATTATATTAATTATTTATTATGTACAAAGTTGTCACTAAATTTAGAACATAATAAATGATCTAATACTTGTTTAAACTTATAGGGCATAATGATACCTAAACAGATCACTTCACTACTTGAGTTCTCATCTCATACTCCAGTTTCAACTTCAGTTCTACCTAGTACAACAGACACAAATGAATCGACGTTTGATAGAACAATAGGACTTTTCAAATTTATACAGACAGCTTCTTATGCTCAAAATATACTCAAACAAAATTCAAAGAACTCTCAATATTCAAACATATTACAAGAGTATACAGAACATGAAAATAAAGTTGATGAATATGTCAATCATAACCAAGGTGATCTTAATAATATTCAATGTGGATTAAATGAAGACCTAAAACATCTTGTCAATCATTCACAACCATGTCAACAAATAGCTACGGAAAGTTATGATCATGCGACTGACAACTCACAGATTATCAATACCTTTGAAACCATCAAACCCATAACCACGCTCCAAGATAACAGTGAGGCTAGTACATGGAATCCTTCTAAATTATACCAGTTATGCAATGAAATAAAACAGTATCAAGAATATTCTAATACTGACAACAGATTATCAACCGATTTAATATTACTTTTAGATATGTTGAATGATTCGGCCTCAACAATTGTTGAATCAGCAAAACTAAGCTCTAACAACAACATTTATAATGACAACAGCAATCATTCTAATTATGACAGCTATAATGTGACAAAAAGTAATAACGCGAACATCGACTGTATTGATAGAAGTAATTTACTGTATAAAACAAATACAGAACAATCTGTAAAGCTGTCAACGAATAATATCTACAATGACAACAGTGAACTTTCATTTATGGAGTCACAAGAAAAACTCACAAGTGATCAACTTAGATCGAATAATACTAATAATAATAGTAATTATCTGAGATTTCAGCATGGAATTCAACAGCAGCAACCACAATCTAAATTATACGATACTTCTAATAAAAAACCAGTACTGCACTGGGCTAAACTTGGTGTACCTCAGCCTGCCAGTCCAACTAGATATTCAGCTCCAGTACACATAGATGTTGGTGGTACATTGTACACATCTTCATTAAAAGCTTTAACAAAGTAAGCAAAAATTAAGTAATTAATATCATATTACTAGGTAAGATGTAAAACTATAATATTCCGCTTGTTTACCTCTAGATAAAATGAGTAGTTTAAGCGTATCATCTCAACTTTTCTCAATATCTTATAAAACAATATGCAGTATTATTAAATGGCCCATCTTTAGAAGACAATCCTAAAATGCTATGTACTTCAAAAATTTATGAATGTATATTCCATTAGAATAAGTAAATTACAGAAGAAATGTTGATGATTGAAAATAGAAGACTAATCAGCCTACCTTACATTTTAATGATCATAAGATAGCGGCAAAAACGATATAGGTATTTGTTATAATGTTTATCTAACTTTTTATAACGATCAGTCAGTTAGATTTTAATGAAGATCATTCAAACAATACCTGAAGACATCATGTTATTCAATCAAAAATTAAATAATTTAGTAAAGGAAACTTGACTCTGTTTTATTTCCACAATTTTTGTTTAGAATTTTAGATACATTTTCTCAAAATGTAATTATCTAAAAAGAATTACCTAAATGCATTTGATGACAAGCTAGCATCACAAAAACATTTATTGTGAAATACAAAATACTACTTATTTGAAATTTAATACTGATCACTATTTTCCAACAGAATTGTAATTTCAAAAATTAGATATGAGGCTCATAGTTAAATTTCTTTGCAAAGCAGGATACTGTGAATAAAAACTATCACAAAAGTACATATTACTTCAACGAGGTACTTAAGCAATCTACTCACCTTCACATTTTACATGAATACATATTCGAAATAACTTTCTACTTAATTTCTACTTAATTTTGATTATTTTATCCAGAAGCCGATGACCTTCAGTTTTTATACTGACTCAGTGTATTAAATTTAGGCTTCGACCAAAACATTAATTTTTGTCATAAGTTTTGTCCTTCAGCATAAAGAAGATAGTGTCATCACTGATAACGTCTTAAGGAAATCAAGAACAAAGAATTGAGTAAAATCTTTGTACTAGTTCTATCCAAAATAACAAAAAGGGACTATGTGTATGAAATAATACCACAATTTACACCTCAAATACTATTTGTGCACCTGGATTTAAAAAGTCAACAACATTTACATTTCTCGTCATTTGAAAATATTTTCTTCCCAGTTAATCACTTCAGCTGAAAATAAATACTTGCTTTAAGCTGAAACACCAAACTTTACTTGAAATATCATGGTATTTTACTATTTCTCCGAATTCAGTAATTTCCTACTAGACAATAGAAGTATATCTTTCTTTCTTTCTTTTCTACACCATATTTACTTTGAACTGAAGAAGAAGTGCTTGATCATATATAATATTTATTGGATAACCTAATTACCGTGTACTCAGTCTAAAGTCATATTTTAAACATGAGTTAGTGATAATACAGTGTTTCTCTAACTAAAGTATATGAAGAAAGATTCAAAAACGATGATTTATCGGTTTGAAACCAAGTACTGTAATCTTAATGGTACTGCTTTGATCAGTACATATAAATTTTTAATCGTCAGTTATGCTTCAAGAAGAATACGAAACACAATATGCTGGCCTTACATAACAAAATCCCCTTTATTGTTGTAACAAGCGTTTCCTGGAAAAGGATTTGATTCTATTATATTGAAATCGAATAAAATGACTCATAAGTATTGTTTAACACAAAAAATGAATTTCTCTTATTCTATACTTTCAAACACCTATGAATCACTACTTCCCAAATATATCCAAAATCCTCAGTGCTTTTTCGGATTTAATTTTAGAAGTGACTTATTTGTTTCTAAAATATATCATCTGAAAATAACAAATCTCATTGTTTGATTAAAACAATGTGTACTGATTTCTCATCTTTCGACTTCATTTGCTATACGTGAAAAATAGAAAGAAAATCTTAGAATTCGATCATTCAGATCAGTATTAAGGAGAACTGATAAAATGTATAACAGTACTATTTTAAGTTATAAGATTGAATATATCTATTTTTTAGTAAATACGCCATCAAGGAGCTATTTCATGAATATGTCATACAATTAAGTTCTAAATGAATTTGCCTTCTAGGGATTTATAATTTCTTTAGTTTTCATGTGATAAGATAACACAAGCAAAAAATCGTTTTTACATTATAAAGGTTAGATTGCTCAAGGCTACAGTAATAAAATTTCTGGCCTAGAGCAACTTTGACTTTGGTAAGTAGTGAAAAAGGATAGTTGAGGTTGAAAAGAGCGTAAATTTAATCAGTAACTGAAGGTGAATTATGGTGCGTATATATCTAATACATTAATCCAGTCTGAAAAAAACCCAGTAATATGCTCCACTGTCCTTAAATCTATTTGAATTCTTTAGTACTAGTTGTTTATGTATGTATGACGACATGTAAGCTCAAATGCAACCCAATTATTGATAAAGTCAACACATACAATAAAGAAATCTGGACTAGAAGAAGACACTAAAGTAAAGACAGAATGAAGTCTTACTAAATGAATGTAAACTTAAAGATTTTCAGTTGTTATATGTACAATTATTGTTTAATTTGATGTGTTAAAGGCAATAACTTAATAGTTAATTGTGAAAAGCTTAACATACTACATAATTTTGTTCAATAAAAATTTAAATGGGTTAAATTTGATTCGAAAAGTGATTTAATCGCTCGTCAAGGCTAGAAGTGTTTAGAACCAAGTGATACACGACCCACTCAACTCAACTGAGCAACCATCTCAGTCTCATCAACCTCATGCGTAAGCACACAACTCAATCATTCGTCCCACGAAACATCTGTTATCAAAGACTCTCAGAATATACCATGTTGCGCAGCCTCTATAATGCAGGGCTACCTAATGCACAGTAAAGCCATCCTTCCGCTGGCAGACCAACATCATGCTTACGTCAAAAGTGGTGCGAATCGACAAAACCAAGGGAAATCTCGAAATCAGTGTCGAAATTTCATTACCAGCAAATCAATATCAGTGAGGCTCCCAAGATCAATCTCTGTCATGGTGCAGGTCAGTCATGAAACACTATTTCGCATTTGGAGGCAAGGAAATCTACTTTTAATGTGACTGAATTAGTTTCCACATTATTCATTGTCATTATCTTCAATAAACGTGCTGTCATCTACTATTTCTAAATCTACGAACAAATCTAATCAAAAAGTCAATGACTGCCTCAAATACGACTGAGTGGACGCTAAAATTCACCTCGTTTTACAGAAACTGCATATCTATCGGAAAGCAACTTACTGCTGAACATAAAACTCTGTGTACTTTTAGTTAAGGCCAGCTAGTTACTTTACTAAAACTAAAATATCCATGAACAAACATTGTGAAACCATCCATGTTAGTTTCATTACTAAAATTAGAACAGCTGATAATCCTGAAATTCAATGAACCAACCATTTACTACTCTTTCATAAATATGAATTCTTGATATTCGATAACCGACCAAGCTATAACTCATCATTCTAATTAATTTCCCAGCTTAATTACTGTCTATCACTTTTTCTAACTTTGTTTCATCATCAGGTTAGTACTGAAGATTAGAATATGGAATTTAGTCACTATTCGCTGACTTTCTATCAGTACTATGCACACCAGATGATGTAAAAAAACTAGCTTTAAAATGAATGAGGCCTCCTGACTTTAAACCTGAAAAACTTCCAATTAACTGGAACCGATTTGATGTTGAACTTGATTCTATATAATTTCTGACAATATACTCGAACCGCATACATGTTTAAGAAGTGTAAGAAATGCTATAGTTACCGTGTTTCCACATTTTTGTTATCATATCATTCATAGTATTAAATATCCCAAAAAATCCCGGAATAAAGCTTTAGACTTTTAGTCTTTAAATACAGAAATAGTTTATTGCATCAGTTCACCTATTTTCTGTGACTTCAAATTTGTAAAATTTGAAAGTTACTGAATAATTCTTGAATGTACGTAGATGAGTGTCCCTCTCCATACTGAAACAGGACACAGATTATTGGAATTTTATGGATTGAGTTAAAATATATCATTCGTTTCAAAATTAATTGGAGAATTCTGTTTTTGTGAATTTCGAATGAGTATTTATGGTTGATATAGTTTATAGTGAACAGACATTTCCGTTGATTTTGTACGAAAGCGACATACACGTATGCATACTAAATATCACATACTTTTTACTAAACAGTCTTGAAAAACTCTCTGAATCAAAAGAAGCATTGCTAAAGAATTTGTTTGTAGTATGCGGTGTATTCATCGCCTATGTGTGATAACATGAAGTCTATTCATTTCTGTAGGACATTCAACCAATTACTCGTGAGCTACTGATTTAAATTTCTTTGTTATTTGTGTTAGATAACATTACAGTGGTCACAAACTCGAAATATTTCTTCTGCTGACTTCTAAATATGTAGTCATGTGTTTATTGTACTAAAGATAACCAAGGTCTTTATCTTAGTCAACAGGACCGTGTGAATAAATTCATTACATATAAGGAGAGTTACTGACACAATAAAATCTCACATGCAGATTCAAATACAAAATTTGAAATTCAATACACATTATATGATCCCATTCATTTTTAAATTTTCTTAAGCAATGAGTTTTAAAAGAACAAAAGATCGCTCACGATTGTTTAATGTTTTGCATTTTTGCATGATACAGGTACCCAAACTCAATTTTAGGCAAAATGTTCAACGGCACAATACCAATTGTATTAGATACTATGAAACAACATTATTTTATAGATCGTGATGGAACATTATTTAGACATGTGCTCAATTTTCTACGTACAAATAAAGTTAATTTAGATCCTAATTTTACAGAATTGGATCAATTAGTTGAAGAAGCAACTTTTTACGGGTTAGATGAAATGGTTAATCAGCTCAAACAAATCAAAACTAAACTAAAGCGAAAAGAAAGACACTATAGAAGGTATTTTCAAGAAGAGGAAAACAATGAAACAGAACTGCGGTTTCCTCCTAAAAAACAAAAATTAGAATATAATGATTTATGTGTTAATTCAGCTGCTAAAACTATTTCAGAAATTCCCACTTTTCAAGAACGTATAGCTACCAGTTCACCTGTACATCAACAAGAGGAATCACGGAACGACTTGCCTTTGAACAATATAACACAAAGTAAATGTTTTTATATACTCATGGAGATTGATAAAGTTTCACCACATCAAGGAAGGATGATATTTTCAGAATGTAATAATCTTAGATTGATAGAATGTTTCAGTGATTTAAATAACTACTTTGCGGATTATTTACCTAATTCTTATCAAATAAAGAGATGTGAAAATTATTCTGAAATAGAATGGTTTATGATGTCAACATACAATCAACTTAAATTATGGGAGTTATTACTAAATCATAATTGTGAAATGATTGTTCAGTATCAACTAAAACAAACTGATAGAAATTGTAACATATGTATTTTTAGATCAAAATAATGGATTATAGAAAAGTTTGTCCCTTATATTATTATATATTTATCATGTTTGTTAATTTGTTTACTTAGTTTGACTCCTTTCAATCAATCATTAGCCTGTTTTTGATACAAGTAACAGGTAAATATTTTGATTATTTATATATTTCAAATACAACTATTCTAAAGAACTAGATACGTTTTTAAAGTTTATCTGTACTGCAATTAAACTGATTATTTTATATTCTGTTTATGTCAATAAATTTAGTGTCTTTACTATTTAAATAATTGTTCACAGAAGTTGATGGAAATTTCATAGATTTACTAGGAAACATAATCATACACATTAATTTGCTTTTAAAAGCTTCAAGACAATAAACCCAACAACAACCAACAGTAAGTTTATGACACCTAGATTCTGTGTTCTGGGTTATTGCTTTATTGCCTAAACAGTGACAACTTGCTCCCAATGAGCAGTACGAAATCAGAAGTCAATTACGAAGATTTACAACAACAACAACGATAATAGTCTAAGAAGTTGAACTGATCTAGACAAGAGTGTAGTCAAATGAATGAATGTGTGTTGATATTCATTATAAACAAACATTGTGCATCCCTTAAGAGTTCTTCTAAATATTTAAGAGTATATTAGTTGTGGAAACTGTAACCTAAACTGCACTTCAAGACAAAGTTTAATTTCATTTGATGAGCACAAAGCAAAACTAATACATTATTATCCATCCCCAAATATATAATAAGCAATACTTTCAGTAATGTGTTATGGTTACAGAAGATTTCAAATGACACTTTGATTATTAAGTTTTACGTGTTCCTTACGTATCAATTTCATTAGTTGGTTTTTACTAACCATCTTGCTTTAGTTTCACACAGTCACTTTACTTTGATAGCTGTATTACTGCTACTCTCATAGATAGGAGTAAGACGAAGAAGAGAGCATCTCAGATATATAATTATCAGCCATTAAGATGGAGACTGCTAACATGTCACTAAGATTTAGTGACAAAGAAGACAGATTCAGATGGCACCGAATCTCGGGAGTTTCAAGATTCCAGGGTTTATTTTAACATTTTTAAACAACTCACCGTCCGTCTTTAGAAGCAGGCTTATCAACTGTTAGAAATGCTCAAGTTCTGGTCAAAAGTTCTACGTGCTGGCCAAAGGGTGAAAACTCTTTCTTGCGTGCATGCGCTTATACGTACGTGGAAGTTCATTATTCAAGCATTCATTGTGTTATCATGTGGTTTTAGTTGTGACCGAGTCGAGATCGACTATAATCACCACTTAATACTAATTACTAATTACTAGCCCGTCAATGAAGTATAAGAAAATCCAGGGTGAAGAATATATTTGAAGCAGAAAGTGGGCGACAGAGGGAGCAGCAAGTTATGAATGATGACAGCAACGCAAAAGAGAAAGTCGAGCGTAAGTAAGTGTTTTTAGTACACTTAAACAAAATGGGTACAATAACAAATGTTTCCTTTTCACCAATCGCGTTTTCTTCGTGGAAGTGTTACACTACATGGTATTTGTGCGAAACGATGGTTCCAATTCCAAATACAGTATGTTTGACTGTGTTCACGGAGGTCTTTCTGAATTCAGTACTGGCTCATACGTAACCATCAGAGTACGAATTCGACATTCCTGGGTACCACTAGCCACGATATAGAAAAGAAATACCTTTGATTATCATATACCGACTTTTTGTTTGTCTTTATATATATGGCCACTTACTCTATGTACATTTTAATCATTTTAAGCTTGTTTGAAGCTGTTTTTTCACCTAATCGTCACCACACTCTGAATGTTAGCAAACTCTTTGCTGTTGTTAAGGTTGATGTAGCTGTTTTACCATAACACGGAGGTAGCTACATTGCCACTCTGTGAACTGACTGATCTTGTTTTATCCTAATAACAATGGTACTATTTTTCTATTTGCTAGGTATGTTTATTACGGCTGATAGCTAATAATGAATCTCGTATTGTTTGTGTTATCATCATCTTACAATTTAATTGTCAACTTCTGCAGATTATTTGAGCTTTATTTCCTTTGTATATAATTAACACACTGTTTTTGACCAAGCTTAACTAGTGATCAGATTATATTCTTATATCATGAATTGCTTAGTATCCTATGGTTTGATTATAATATTATTGGCAACTGTGCTGTCAGAAAAGGTATTGTTCAAGTTCATTTTTTTACTTTGTACTATTAATTACTTCGACTGTACTACTTATGTGCCAACTTGTACGCTTCTCTTTGTTATTACAAGAAATTTATAGCCAATAACAATCTGTCAATAGATTTGAAAAAAGAAATGACTGAAAGAAGAGTCCCAGGGAAATAATTTTGGATCTTACAAAAGGCTTTTACCAATCTCTCACTTATTATTTAACAGCATGCGAATCTCAGTGGAACTGGGATCTTAGTCACTCAAACGACAGAAATGGCAATATGTGATTTAGAAGCAGAGGAGTAACGAACCAGAGTGATTGAACCAACGTACGTGCTCCTGTATTGCTTACGAAGTTTTCTTGAGTCAGTCGTAATAGAGTGTATAAAAAAACAAATTCTATGATTAGTTTAGTTTGACAAGAAAAACAAATTACATCAACAGTATAAAAAAAGTAAAACGATAAAGCTTGCGGTATCAAAGGTTTCTGTACTACAAAATACTGCAATAGGCAGTAAAACGATTTTTATTTTGTTAGAGTTAGATACCTATGTATCAGTGAGAGTATCCTCAAAAAATAATCATCACGTCAAATTAAAAGGATTTGAGTATCCATTCTCAGTGGGCAGTCAAAGGTCGGCCATGGCAAATCATCCTACGCGGTATCCTTAGGTTGAGTCAAACATGACCTTACTTAAGTGATCTAACATTAGGAATTTAAAAAAATGTAGAATAAAGGGAAATCTTAACGAAGGCTAAATAATAAAAGCCTATAAGCATAAGACTGAGAAATATAAATCATTACTACAAGAATTTTAAATAAGAGCTAAAGTACAAAAAGTGGAAGAAAAAAGAAGAATCAATAACGTCGGAAATTCCCACACCGTGAATTATAACAACATATTCAAGCAAACAGTTTCTTACCAATCTGGATCCATATTAAGCCTCACCCTAACATACAATAATAATTAAATGCATACATGAAATTACCAAATTATTCAAGGCAGTTAATGAGTTTATAGTGGGACACTTATATGAAGAAAAGGAGATTGGTGAAAAATAAACGTTTGCTAGTGTACTCGTTTTGTTTAACTGTACCAAAAACACCAACTTACGCGCAGCATTCTTTTACGCGTTGCTGCCATTTTTCATAACTTGCTGCTCTATGTAACGCCTACTTTCTCCTTCAAATGAAAACTGAACCCTGGATTTATTTTTATGATTTGTGATGGGATAGTAATGAATATTTAGTAGTGGTCATAGTCAATCTCGACTCGGACACCGCTAAAAGTTAGTGATAAAAGTAGATTAGATCACAAAATTAAATAAAAGTACAAATCAATAGCCTGATGACAAGAGTACTGATGGTGATGAGGATAACAACGGCTTCAATCACTGTCATATAATAGGAGACAGGTCAACAACTTGGGAGACTAGGAACTTCATTGACATTCATTGATATATAAAATAATGTAAAGAAATTTATTAGGTTTAATTAGTGACCGAGTCGAGATTGACTATGTTGTAACGGTTGTTTAAGATATTTCCCGGCTAAATCTTATTGCTTAGTATTCTTGACACAAAACACTGGACAAGTAACACAAATCAAAACACGGTTGAACAGGAAGGATTGTATTCCAAAATAGCAAGGAAAAGAAGCTGGAGGTGATGGCGAAGCCAAGGCAAAGAAAGCAAGAAGGCTTGAAGGCTAAGAAGGCAAAGATAAATACAATGCTAGTCTATTTATAGCCTTTACGTAAGAAAACTTCTAGAAGAAAATTCACATGATCGACTGGACTGGATTTGACCAATCAGCATGCAGCTAATAATACGAGAATTTTCTATCCTGTTCTCCAAGCTTCGATCAGGCGCTGATTGGATAGAAATTTAGCCAATCAGCGCGCAGCAACGTAGTTGTGCTTTAATTTCATTTATGTCCCACTAACACCTCCCCTTTGAGAAGATTCGTAGGATCTGGTGCTAAAGTCCAACTGCTTCCTGGGTGCCTTGCCACCCGTACTCTTACGAGCCGCCTGCTTTGTAGGAACCATATCTTTAAACAACCGTCCCACTAACAGACTATGATCACCACTAAATGTTCCATACTGTCCCCTCACGTAATATAACAATAAATCCATGGTAGAATATTTATTGAAGGAGACAGTAGGCGTTTCATAGAAAGCAGCAAGTTATGAAAAATGGCAGTAACGCGAAAAGAACGTTGCGCACAAGTAAGTGTTTTTGGTACAGTTAAACAAAACGAGTACAATAGTAAATATTTACTTTTCACCGATCGCGTTTTCTTCGTGGAAGCGTTCCACATAAGGTCAATTAGATGCGTCCTATATTTAAGAAAAAAGTTTGGAGAAAATTAGAAAAATAAACAAAGCGCGTACCAAACTTAGGTTTTCAAAACTAGTCAGAGTGCTTTTGGTGACCTTTTAGTCTTTATATTATAAGTACCATTGCTTGTTAGCCACATAAAAGTTACTACGGTCCACCAAGACCGTGTTTTGCAACAGATGTTTAAGTCCACTAGGCAGGATATAGGAAAAGTTTCCTAAAAATATGTGGTCACCTTCTTAACCGAAGAAGTGAAAAAATAAACAGCAGAGATCTGCGATTTCGTCTAGGACCATCTGCAGTTTTATCTTGACATAACAGATCTCACTGCTGGGGATCAGATGACTTATAGTTAGTAGATAAAGCTTGTATATCACTGAGTTATTTTGATAGCAAACAAGGACGACTTAAAGCTGTCGAAGAACCCAAGACTTGAACAATGGCTGAAACAAGCCTTCTAAAATATAATGACTAATGACTTGACTAGATT